CTAGGAAGAGATATGAAGAGATAAACTCTTTCAAGTCAGCAGCACTTATACATACTTGGGAAAACAAACATTTCGTGCACTGAAAATATTTTGGGGTCAGGCTTAGTTGGAAGTCAACACAGTCACTTACAAAAGACAAGATGACCAGTACACTTACTGATTTCCCTGCAATATCAGTGTCAAAGAAATTGGCAGAATTAAATATTATATACTTATTATTAGTATTATTATTATTAAATATTAAATGCATATTTGGACATAGTTTGAAGCAAAAGTTCAACATATATTCTGCTCAATCAGGGCTAATTTAGAATGAATTTGTGATGAAATGTAAGTAGGGTACTGATGAACCCGTGAGTTAAGACGGGATTTTTTGAGTGAGGAAAAAAAAAAAACACATTCACTGACTGATCTCAGCTCTGGATACCTGCCTATGATGAGCCATTTATTTAGATTCAATAACACATCTACATCAAATTCACGGTGAGATATCACACATTTAACTTTGATCAAAGTTAAATGTGTGATAACGGCAGCTCAAGTTCAAGTGAGCCAAAATACGATACCTCGTTGGCTCAAGTAGTTAACCCGAAATGCACCAAACTGAACAAGCAGACTGTGGATGACATGAGCAGCCAGGTGAAAACGCGGCATGAATACCGAGGAAATGCTCGAACATTTTAACTAAAAGTACAACTTTTCATAATCTTCCACCCAAATCGAAAGCTCTTGACAGAGGTGAAAACTTTTGGGCTGAGAGCTCCGTCTTTCAACTGTCTTGGTTTTAACGAAGCAACAATGAACCTCTCCTCGAGCGGCGTGGCCACACGAACTTCAGGTGGTACAGTTTCACCAGGAGCCATTACTAACTATTAAACGAAGTTTCTGTGTCTTACCTGACAGGTTTAAATAACGTCCCGTAGAGAAATCTACACAGATGACCTATTGATGCAGGCTGGGAGCGCGTGCTGTGGTCCCACTGCTCCTCTCCAAACGTCAGTCCGCGCGCCTCTCCAAGCGAGGACGCTCCTCCTCCATCTCTGTCAAACGCACGCGCCTACCACCGCTCCCGCACTCGCTATATCTATTCATTTTACTTTAACGCTACTTTCCATAAATCGCATCGCGGTGTGTGGAGTTTACAGTGAACCAGCAGCGATGACACAGGAAAATCATAATCACAATACTACTCGAAGCCAAAGCGAGAACTTGTCTCCACGCGTACTATAATTGTACTGTTTTTATTGCATGAACTGTAATAGCTGCAGAGAAACACCGTTTCAGATGAGGACAGTTGGGTTTAAAGCCTTCCATGCAGTGATGAGAGAGGCTCAGTGGACATTCAGTTGTAGTTACTGTAGTAGTTAGTAACTGCAGTCATTGTAGAGTAACGATATATAATGTAAGGTGGTTGTTATTGTTGGCTCATTTTCCCTCCAGCAAGCACTCAGCTCAACAGGTTTTCTATGGGCAGCTGATCATTCAGTTGAAATATCAGGACATTATATCACAAACTGTATACAAGCCCAGACTATGTGGATTCAGACTTGGAGCGATGTCTCCATCTACAGGTTAGTTGTTGCAATGGCAGAGCGGGGTTGACATTGAAGTATGTCGCTATGATAGTTTATCAAATGAAATAAAAATCAGCTCTCTTTTCAACTAAGTAGACCAGCACATATTAAAACAAATGTAAAATGGTCTCCCATACTTTCCAAAATAACTTGGTCACTCTACTTTCACTGAAAAAAGAACCCATAAAATAATAAAGGTGGTATTTTACTGTACCTGAATTTCCCTCCAGGATCAGCACTCTCTGTCTCCCTGTCTGCTCAGGATGGTTTCTAGTCAGCCAAGTATACGCCATTCTCTATCTCCTCATAACTGCAATACCTCAAGAAATTGATGTACAAACTTAAATCATAGGCCCTATTTTATTTGGTGTAGTTGTTAAGGAAAACTCAATGAGTAAAGAGTATTAATATAATAGTCTGAAATATTGCATGTCAGAATGTAAGTTTTTTGAGAAATTAGTCCTGTAATTTGATTCATACAGTACAGTCTATATAGTCACTATATAGAACGTACTGGGGGGGATTTTGAAATGTGGGGGGGACATGTCCCCATGTATAATGGTATGATATAGCGGTCAACAGAATCAAATTTGGCAAAACAATACACACTTGCGAGTGAGTACGGTCTTACTGTGGCCTCTACGTCTCTTCACATCTGTAGTGACATGACAGGTAATGCATAGGTCCATTATTTAACACAAAAGAGGAGCTCCTGCAACAGCACAAGGGCCATGGAAAGGAGCATTTCACTACAGTGATGTAACACCAGTGTAAACACACACCAACAGCTGATGTAGTGACAAGTCTGTAACTAGCTGCACATGGCTTTGTGCAAAAAGGTAGACTTTTGAAATAAGATAGGTTAAATTTATACACAACAACATACACCCTTGCTCAATTCAGTACCTATAGGGGTTTTGCTGCTACAGCTAATGTGGCTAATGTTTGCAAACATTAGTTTGTCGACATTATGACTCCCCTCTACTTGTGCTACTGTTACATTATGTTACAAGACATACTATTGTTTGGTAATGCAGCTTTAACTGATGCCTTATTTCACCAAAATTGGCACGTAGGTGGCCAATTCCACCCACTACTCAGGCAAATAAAATGGCCCTCATAGACCTCATGGTGGCGCTATATCAAATTTGCATTTTTGCAATTAACAGCTTCTCTCATCATTTTAATCTCTTGATTCATCTGCATCTGTGCTTCAATGGTCTTCCGCTCTAAAACTGTCAAATTATGTGACTTTTTATCACTTTTCTCAAAAACCTATTTTTGCAACTCATCTTAGACGGTTTCGCCAATCGACCCGAAACTTTGGCAGGATCATCCACGGACGTCGCTGATCAAAAGTTATCGAAATTATTTTGATACATCAATCCGTCTTTTTTTTCATACATTTTTACTTTCGTGTCTTTACATACAATTTTACATAAATGCACATAATTCAAAATTGGCTTAAGCTATTGTAACCAAATTTTGACGCGTCTGTTCAGATACTCGGCCTGAGCTTCGCTGAGCAGTCCTGGGATATTTTCCACTAGGGGGCGCTACACTTGCAAAAAAGTTTATGCCTCGTAATTCGCTGCACGGATTCGTAAAAAACTGTACGATCCAGGGTCCCTATACAGTTGATGCATAAAATTTAGTAATGATTGCTGGGCATGGCTTATTACAACAAATGTAAATTTCTAGACATTTCTCATTCTAAATTTCAAAAAATCTAAGAAAATAACGCGTCTGTCCTAGAAAGCTGAAATGTTTTCTGCACATCCACTGATATGTGACTAACATTTGCCTCACTGCAACCTATGGTCAATTCAGAAGGTAGTCGCTCACAGAGTCGTTCTCTAGATGGTCGATAACAAGTGTTGCAAAGGATTTTTAGATCGGTCTAAAAACGGTTTAAACGGTGAGTCTGATATTCAGTATCTTGCCATAACTTGTACAGTATGCACTACATTTTCTTTTTTGCTCAGTTTCGGATCAAATGCCACCAAAATAATTGACAACACACCCAAAACCAGTAGAATGATGCGTGATTTTTTTCAGAATATTCTCACCAACATCTTGACTGTTGTAAACTTTTTAAGTTTAAAGTGACAAAACTATCCAAGTATGGCACATGTGACGTCACTACCTCAATTTGTGAAAAGGTGTGTAAAAACAGCCTCTCACCAGTTGCTCAGTCAGTAATTCACCTACTTTGGAGATTTGAAGCTCCAGGGTTCAAATCCCCAGGTGGCCATGTCAGACTTGTTGAGAATGAGGGTTGTTCAGATCATAGTAAGTCTAAGGTCTCCATTTTAAGTGACACTTCTTAACTTTCTCTGCCTAAAAGTGTTTGTGCAGCTTAAACCTTTAAAAGACAAAATGTTGCAGGTGGGTTGAACATTTCACCCAGTAGTCAGGTACATATAATGACATCTCTGCATTTGTAGTGGAGTATTTCCTCATTGTGATATTACTACTTTTACTTAAGTAAAGGATCTAAACAGGCCCTAGACTGATTGTAAACCACTGTGTGATGCATATTTTATTTTTCCTTTATATGGATATTGACCTGTTTGTTTTATTGCCTTATTTTTATTCGACTTGTCTATGTTGTAGCCTACTACATTGATTGCTGTAAAGCCCTATGTTACCTGTATTAAAAAGTCTGTACAAATAAAGCTTTTTTTTTTATTATTATATGTATAGCATTTATTTTTATGAGTAGCATCAGGGGAACTAGGCTACAAGTTCAGTTCAGTTCAGTTCAGTGTGCTTTATTGGCATGAATTCAGTTCAAAAATTCAAAATTAAACGTACAACATATCTCATTATACAATGCAGTGTTGCAAAATCACATAGACAGCCTGCACAGTTTTCCGTAATGTTGTAACGTTGTTACTAAGATACTTATCCAGATGACACGGCCCAGATTGGAAAAGCTAACAGGACTACCGACACAGAAGCTGTACTGCTGTGGACTGCTTAAAGTATTTTAGATCAATTAATATCAGTTTAAGTGCATGCTATATTAAGACCAGGGGGCGGACTGGGACAACAATTCAGCCCTGGCGTTGTAGCCATGCCAGCCCACCTTACCATGCATCCCCACGAACACACATTCACTACTTAGGCTACATTTGTGTAAAGATGGTGAAACAATATAAGCATTAGGCCTACTGTATGTAACAGCAAAGGGCGTCACTTTGTGTGGAAAACTGGTGGTGACATAAGGTCTGAGAATAGGGGTGTGATGAAAGACTTTGGTCACGAGAACAAGACGAGAAGATATTTTAACACTATTTTGAATAAATATTCCTTAATATATAAAATAATATAAAATATATAAGTCTGGGGGGGTCCTCCTTCTGAAGATTGTGAGCATTAAACTCTTAATTTCCTTCATTTTGGAGACATTTCCTGCACCAGTTTATGGAGTAAATGTCTTTATTTCTATAAATGGCAGCACATAATTCAGGTGACTGTGTCAATTATAGAGGTTAAGGTCTTTGTATGAATCACTCTTGGACTGACTGAGACTTATGACGCTTGCTTGCTCGTAGAAATACATGAACCAAAAAATATATAATAATGTCTAGATAGTGCGTTCCAACATATGAGTGTTTTATTACTTCTTGCTTACAAAAGGTTGAAAGAAAATGATTGCATGAACTAAACGTTAACTGAGGCCACGCATGGTCTGCAGCACACTCCTTTATGCCTTTTGGACCTGCAAAGACATGAGTATTAACAAATCATGCAAAAATATCTAAATATACAAATTTACAAACAAAAATAAATTGAATTCAAATTGGCTCCTACAGGCAAGAATAAGAGCAAATACTTTGTAGTCGTTATTGAGCAAACAGATAGGACGACAGTTGTCTATCAAAAGTAAGTCTTTTTGGGGTTTTGGGATGAGGGTGATAAGGCCTTGCGATAATGTAGGTGGCAGCCTTCCAAATTCAATACTTTCAGAAAAGACACTGAAAGGAAAAGGGGTCATTTCATTACAGAACTTTATATTTATTTAAATTTATAAAATAGACCCTGTATGCAGGATAAGCGGTTGACGATGGATGGATGGATAAAATTCTCCGTCATTGCCAGGAGATTTGTTATTTCTGAGTTTCAGAACAGCATTCAGAACTGCATCGTGAGTAATTTTGCTGTCACAAAGTACTCTATAGTCTTCAGAAATTGTTTTGCAAGTTTTAATAGAGTTTAGAAGTTGAGAGGTTTTCTCTTCTGAGAAGTTGGAGGTGTAAAGTTTACTATAAAACTCTGAGCAAAAGGAAGCAATTACTTTGTGATCAGTAACGAGATGGCCATTCATTTTTAGAGCGTCGATGGATGATTTTTTGGATGGAGTTTTCTAAACAAAAAAAAAGTTTTGCTCACCTTCCAACCTTCCTTCTTGATCTCACAAAAGCCCCCTGGGCCTTTTGTCTGTAGATGTCATCTAACTTGTTTTGGCATTCACTAAGCTGCAATAACTCCTCCTCAGAAATGTTTTTGGTAGTCTCATCAGATAACGATGCAATTTGACTTAACAGCCTATCTTCTTCCTGTTGTCTAAGTTTAGCTAAGTTGCTGCCATAGGTTCTTATATATATTTTCAAATTTTAAGAGCTCCCATTGTTGACCAAATGACATTTTCTTACAGGCTTCTTTCCAGTGAGACTTGATTAGATATGTAATATAATTTATGACATTTTTATGTAAAAGAAGGCTATTATTAAGTTGCCAGCATAAGGCTCTAGGAATATGTAGAGCAGAAGAAACATAAATCTTCAAAATAATTGCCTTATGAGAAGGGAGCAGCATGGACATACAGGTAAATGTTCTTTACTTGTTCAACAAGTGTATTTTCTTCTAACAAAGCATCATTTTCAGAGCAAATATTGTATTGGGTCGCAAATGGTGAATAACCTCACCAGAAAAGTTGCTTTTCAAAACAGTAACACCAGCTGACCTTTCAGATCCATGACCTCCCCATAAGTCTTTGCCCCACTGAGTCCTCCAAAAAGGCAAGTCATCTGTTGTGCAGTTAGACTCTTGTAGGAAACATAAATCACATTTAAACTTCCTAATAAATAAGAAAACCGCTTTGCGTTTTAAATTATTTCTCAGACTCCTGGCATTAAAAGAAAGAAAAGATAAAGATGTAAAAAAATAACACCTCAAGCTATAAAATGAGTGAGAATAATCTATAACATGTAGAGATCAAGCTCCACTAACAGTTTACAGGCCTGTTCACAGGCTCAGTTGGATTTAGAGAACAGCATAGGAGAACCTGCCACGGTATAAAAGAACTTAACTTGAACATAACAGATTAGGTCTATACTCAAATGCAGATTAGAAAGTTACTTAATGAGATCTAGCTCAACTTCACATGGCAGATTTTGGAACCGGTAGACACTACCATACTGGTGCTCACTGTGGTAATGGCTGGCAGGGCGTTTTGCCTGCCTGACTTTGCTGATATGTTTAGATTTTGTTGATCTGGTAACCAGTGTTTGCATTTTGTGCTTCTACTGATTACGTAGGCTACGTAGTTAAATGATTTCCTTTTGTGTCCGTTTTAACCGTGTTTATTGTTGTTTTACCATCGTGAAGTTCCACATGATATTTTATTTTGAAAATTGACCGGATCCTCTATGCCATTCTGTGTCTAACTTCCTGGCTGGTTCGATCTGCTCTGTGCGGCTTGACGCGGCTAGCAGCAAGAGGTGAAGTTTCACGATATATTATGTAAAAGATCACCAAAAACTTACAAGGGACAATGTTATAAATTCTCATATAAAAAAAACTAAGGATGATAGTGAAGTATGCCTCTAAAGTACTCACGTGTTTGTGTTTTATTAATCAGAATCAGCTTAACTGCCATGTAGAGCTTTGTAAGTAAAGGAATTGGCCCTTGGGGCTTTGGTGCATAACAAATATAAACTTATATAACGATAAGATACAAAATATAAAAGAATAATACAGACTATGTTTATATGGCAGTTATTTACATGAGCATCAGATTTACAAGTGTAAACATTTACAGTTTAAGGTGAATAACAAAGCAGGGTGACAGTTAACTTGTAAACTGTAAATGTATCCTCTGTTTTTGCAGTTTGAAGGGATATTTGATTGTAAAATCGCCAGATTCAAGAGGTGACGACAGGCAAGTGCAATGAAGCTAGACACAAAATGCGAAGGACGAAATGTTTACATTCCATGATTACAACGTAGCTTTGTTGGCAGTAAAATGTCCAATAATAGCCCATAAACTACTGGCGTTAGCGCGAGTTTTCTTATTGATTTAACTTCTTTCAACGTATTTAACCTGCAGTCTCACTCGCTTCGGCGCGTTCGTTTTTATTTAGTTATCACTTTTTCAAGCACGCCATTGGATGATAACTACATATAGACCTACGTAAAGTACAGGTGAAACTCGAAAAATTAGCATATCGTGCAAAAGTTCATTTATTTCAGTAATTCTAAAAAAATATATTATATAGACTCATTACATGCAAAGTGAGATATTTCAAGCCTTTATTTGATACAATTTTGATGATTGCGTACAGCTTATGAAAACCCCAAATTCAAAATCTCTGAAAATTAGAATATTACATGAAATCAAAAAAAAAAAAAAAAAAAAAAAAGATTTTAAATACAGAAATGTCAGCCCTCTGAAAAGTATAATCATGCATATCAGTACTTGGTTTGGGCCCCTTTTGCATGAATTACTGCCTCAGTGCGGCGTGGCATGGATGCTATCAGCCTGTAGCACTGCTGAGGTGTTATGGAAGACCAGGATGCTTCAATAGCGGCCTTCAGCTCTTCTGCATTGTTCGGTCTCATGTCTTTCATCTTTCTCTTGGCAATGCCCCATAGATTCTCTATGGGGTTCAGGTCAGGCCAGTTTGCTGGCCAATCAAGCACAGTAATCCCATGGTCATTGAACCAGGTTTTGGTACTTTTGGCAGTGTGGGCAGGTGCCAAGTCCTGCTGGAAAATGAAGTTAGCATTTCCATAAAGCTCGTCTGCTGAAGGAAGCATAAAGTGCTCTAAAATGTCCTGGTGGACGGCAGCGCTGACTCTGGACTTAATAAAGCACAGTGGACCAACACCAGCAGATGACATGGCTCCCCAAACCAACACAGACTGTAGAAACTTCACACTGGACTTCATCATCTTGGATTGTGTGCCTCTCCATTCTTCGTCCAGACTCTGGGACATTGGTTTCCAAATGAGATGCAAAATTGGCTCTCATCAGAAAAGAGGACTTTGGACCACTGAGAAACAGACCAGTTCTTTTTTTCTTTAGCCCAGGTAAGACGCTTCTGACGTTGTTTGTTGTTCAGGAGTGGCTTGACGAGAGGAATACGACATTTCCAGTCCAGGATCCGTCTGCGTGTGGCGGCTCTTGATGCAGTAACTCCAGCCTCAGTCCACTCCTTGTGAAGCTCCCCTACACATTTGAATGGCCTTTTCCTGACAATCCTCTCCAGGCTACGGTCATCCCTGCTGCTTGTGCACCTTTTTCTTCCACACTTTTCCCTTCCACTTAACTTTCTATTAATGTGCCTTGATACAGCACTTTGAGAACATCCAACTTCTTTTGCAATTACCTTTTGAGGCTTTCCCTCCTTGTGGAGGGTGTCAATGATGGTTTTCTGCACAACTGTCAGGTCAGCAGTCTTCCCCATGATTGTGAATTCCACTGAACCAGACTGAGAGACCAATTAAAGGCTCAGGAGCCCTTTGCAGGTGTTTTGGATAAATTAGCTGATTAGATTGTGACACTTTGAGCCTACAAACCTTTTCACAATATTCTAATTTTCTGAGATTTTGAATTTGGGGTTTTCATAAACTGTACGCAATAATCATTGAAATTATTTCAAATAAAGGCTTGAAATATCTCACTTGGCATGTAATGAGTCTATATAATATATTAGTTTCACCTTTTAAGTTGAATTACTGAAATAAATGCACGATATGCTAATTTTTCGAGTTTCACCTGTATATCGGACCACAAACATAGCGGTCCGCTCTTATTGCCAGAAGAAATAAGTTGGATAAAGTTACTGATAAACAACAAAAATGCAAGAAGCACGAGTGGCAACGCATTTTGTTTCATTTGTTGAAAATTGTAGAGGTTGTTAGAAAAAAACTGGGTCCTACCTCGATGGAGATCGTCTAAATAGCGAAAACTGCCGCCTATAGGGTCCAGACCGGTCCAGACGCGAGTTTGGACCCGGAAACAGTATTATCGAGAGTTGTGACGTCACGCCTTCACAACTGGATGGTCAAGCGTCCCGTCGATTTAAATGAGTTCAGTATTTTAAAAAAAAACATGGAACACTCCTGACGTCACTCCTGCTTTCATTTCCTTTGAAGAAAGCCGTGACGTAGCTGTTCTTTGATACGCGTTTCAGATCATTTCAGCACACACTATCATTACTCTCGGACCGAGTTACTGAAAGAAAACACTTCAGATCATCAGATATCTCACACTTTCTGCAGAGAATTGTACAACCTGACAACTTAATATCAGAAGAAATACTATCTTATCTATTTATTCCCACTATCCACTGACATGCCAGTATTAGTTCTAGGTCTTGTGCTTCCTTGGGTCGCCAAAACTGCTGGTCATCTCATCAGCTCTGCACTGGGACTTAATCAACCCAGTACACCCAGAGTTAACCCAGCGGAACCTGTGATCCATGAATCACCTCTTGTACCACCACCAGTCCAGAAAAACTTCATCCATCGATTCATCGTCCATACCCGCTTATTCCCCTTATACAGGGTCGGGGTCCAGACAAACTTCAAGGAAATAACCTGCAGTAACTCCATGTTGCTGAAAAAGTACCGCCACAAAATAATGTTGGACTGTCTGCTTAATGAAACACAGCAAACTCAACAAGAGCAGGCTGGCCCCTCTTTACTCATTTGCCCTGTGGTACCACCACAAGTCCAGAAAAACTTCATCCAACGATCCATCGTCCATACCCGCTTATTCCCCTTATACAGGGTCGGGGTCCAGACAAACTTCAAGGACATAATCTGCAGTAACTCCAGGTTGCTGTATCTGAAAAATTACCACCACTCCAAAATGTTGGAGAGTCCGTGTAATGAAACAGAGCAAACTCAGCAAGAGCAGGCTGACCCCTCTGCACACACCGTAGTACCACCACAAGTCCAGACAGACTTTAAGGACCAAAACTGCAGTAATCCCAGGTTGCTTTATCCGAGAGATGGCCGCCACTCCACCGTTGTTTAATAAGTGTAAACAAGTGTATATAATATCTGTAAATATTCATATTTTTTTATTCTATTTTACATATTACTATATTTTAATTTTGATTCCACATTTAACTCTCCGTTTGTGACATGAAGGGAATACAAACATTCGATTGACAAGAGTGAATCTGGCAGCGAGAGGTTTAAACTTTCTCCTCTCTCTCTACACGTCTTTATATCTGTGACCCGACCCATCTTGCACAGTGAATAAGAGAGGCAAAAATATCGGATCACTTGCAGAAATCGCAGATTTGTTTACCAGGATTAGAGCAAAAATGGGTGAACTTTTGAGCATCAGAAAATAGAGATGTAGATTTTTCCTGGGGGAAAAAAATTGTTTTTTAACAATTGGTTCTGGTTTATTCAAACTCAGATCAGCTTTTCCTGCTGAATTTGAAACTACCAGAGGACAAAATGGTGCAGTTTGTTCCAGAACGAGACAATGTATTCAGTCTTTCTTTACCATGTGCCAAGGACGATTAGGATTTAACAACGGGAAATTTGTGCTGTTTTTTCCAAAATCAGAGCAAACATTAATGATTATTTCTCCAGGACCTATTGCAACAATTGCAGCAGATTTTTCCAGGACAGGCGCAAAAATTGCAGCTTGTTTTTCCAGGATTAGAGCAAGAATTGCAGAATGAAAATTGCTGTTGGTTTGACCAACAGCAGAGCAACAATTGGTTTTGGTTTATTCAAACTCAGGTCAGCTTTTCCCTCTGAATTTGAGACTACCAGGGGATGAAATGGTGCAGCTTGTTCCAGAACAAAACACTGAATTCAAGCATCCAGTACTACGTGCCATGGACGACTGGGATTTAACAGTGGGATATTTGTGCTGCTTTTTCCAAAATCAGAGAAAACATTATTGATGATTTCTCCAGGACCAGGACCCATTGCAACAATTGCAGCAGATTTTTCCAGAACAACAAGGCAACTTTGCGTGCCTGGGTTTAGGCTAAAATTACAGCTATGTTTGCCTTTTTTAAGGCCCACCACTGTTTCACACGCCACTGTTTTAGCTCGGAAATGATGGAACTGATCTCCAGGGAAACATCAAGAGGAAATTCACAACTCACATATAGCAGAGTACCAGAGTGCCCGTTGCTGTGGCAACCAGGATCTAGATGCAGCAGCAGCTAGCTCCTTCAAACTTCACCACACTTTTGTTTTCCACTTGTTTTTTTATGGCTTTATTGCCAAAACACATATCACCTGACAGAAATACAGTCATTGTATGAGGAAGACAGGGTTTTGGATTAATGAGCAGCCGACCGTAGACGATCCGCCAGCCAGATCAACCTGACCAGGTACCACGGAGGGTGTGCTGATCGTTCAGAGGAGAAAAAGAGAGCCAGGATAGGAGCCATGTTCACCCAACTTGGACTTAAGACTGCTACTAAAGGTCCGGTCTGGACAAAATGGGACTCATGTTGGCCAAGCAACAGAAATCAGAGACTGTGCCATTTTTTTTTACAGAGACCTTCCCCGTCCGCATCTCGGATCAAGTTCTCGGCGGGGTGACCATGTTCCAAGCTGTCAGCGCAAGACTCCAGCAAGATGAGAGGAGGCGGACTCTGTGTTTTGCTCCGATGATGGAAGACAGTGGTGGGACAATATAGGTGGCATGCTGGCTTAGTCATTCTCCCCGTGTCCACGTGGGTTTACCCCGGGTGCTCTGGCTTCCTCCCACATACCAATTAATATAAATCTAAAATATTTTCTTTTTAATAAATTTGATGTACTATATTACAGGAAGTGTTTCCTTTTTCAGAGTTTATTAATGCCACACACACTTCTGTTTTGCATAAGCATTAAATTGGACTTTTGAACAGGGGTGATTTATAAAAGGGACAAGCAGGTTCATACAGATGTAGTGGTACCAAACACATTCAAATATCACCATGCTGTCATCACAGCCAAATAATGGTAAAGTTTACAAAAAGTGGAAGAATATTCCAGACTCTGACAGTATGGGTATGATACAAGTACGAAATACCATTGGCATCAGTCTGCCACAATAGCCAGAGACCTGAGAAGTGTTCGTGTGTGTTTCTGTGTATGAATAAATTAGTAGCTGCAGATTTATTAGAAAACATTGCTGAAGAATTCAGCTGCTTTGACATTATCCACAATTTGTAATGTTGCAAAGTGAATTCAAAATCACAAGTGAAAAATGTTTCTGACCAAGAACGGTGCGAGAAAATTAAATATAAATGTCACATTTAAACAGTTTGTCCTGTGACAGCCCCTTTTTGTGTCAGAGCATTTGACTTATTGATTGCTGTCAGGAGGTGAAGTGAATTTCAACAAATATAACTCAAAATGTTTCTGAAATAAATTGCCTACCCTTGTCAAAAGGATTTAGCTCTGGGCTTCAGCCACTTAAGGACATTCACATTCTTGTTTTGAAGACTACTTCAGGTCAGTGTCCTGGATGAACAAAGATTGTCTTCTATATCTAATATACTCAAAATAACTCCTGAAGACGAAATCAATCAATCAACAGGAAATTTATTTGCTATTCTGATAATCGATTTGAGTAATTTTCAAGCAAAAATGCCAAATATTCTGGTTTAAGCTTCTTAAATGTAAGGAGCTGCTGCTCAACTTTGTCATGTATGACGCTGAATTAAAAATCTTTAGGTTTTGGACTATTGGTCAGACAGAAAAAGCAAATTAAAGACATCACCGTGGCCCTAGAGAAATTATACATAAAATTCTTTCACAATTTGTAGACAAAACAAATAAACAAATAATTAGCAGATTAAGCCATAAAGAAAATAACCATTACTTGTGGCTTTATCACACATAGCAAAGAGCTGCAGTATCTGGAGCCAATAAATTGTGTTGTGGTGACATTTGTAAGCCTTTTAATTTATTAATTCTCCTAATCAGAATAAAAGCAGTAGTTGGCAATAGGTGAATGTTTTGTTTGAATGTAAACAAAGCCACTGCTCGGCAACATCCAGCCACTATAATCTCTGCTTCTAAAATTATATCAGATGGTTGAATTTCTGCACTGGTAAACTCAACTAGTCTGCAACATTACATAAATAAATAATGCTGGACACTGCCGGGTTAATAAAAACATTAACCCATGTGAACCTGCCACTGACCTCAAGCACCAGTGTTGTCCATTTAGAAACACCTTTCACCTCCACAACAACTAAATAAGCCCTCAGTATAGTTACCTTTGAGCGAGCCACAAAATTGTGACTCTCAACAGCCACTGTGACATAAATAACAGTAAATCAACCAAATAGGTACTATCTCTTCAATACAAAGTTGTTCTAATAAAATTGAATGACAGTGAGCTATCTGCAAGGAGTAAGTGAATTTATTTTTCTAAATTGGGTGAACTGACTGAGTTAAGTTTAATGAGCTTTTACTTTTTTTGAATTCATTAGAAGTGACTGACTTTGGGTTCCCATGCCATCTCATGGTACAGCTCCACAGTATAAGCAACAGCTCTGTGCTTATTTATCATCAATAAAAAGCTCCACTTGTTTAACATTAAAGCAATCTGTGAAGCAAACGCTGAAAGAAAGACCAGCAATGTACCAGCTGCAGTAAGACATGGACTGTGGCAGTTGTATTGTTCAAAAGCTCTCATTTCATGTGGATGTTTTTGAAAAGAGACTAAAATCACTAGTGACTCTGAAATGAGAGGGTACAATATGCAGAGGCTCTAGTCCTACTGTGCACATGAGCATGATGTTCTAGGAAGAGATAAACTCTTTCAAGTCAGCATCTTAGCAGCAGCACTTATACATACTTGGAAAAACAAACATTTCCTGCACTGAAAATATTTTGGGGGCAGGCTTAGTTGGAAGAACACAGTCACTTACAAAAGATGACTGGTAGACTTTGTGACAGCCTCTCCTTATTAGCCTGCGTGTGTCAGTAACTCTGTCTACCCAAGCCATCTTTTGAGTTGCCAGAGAAGCTGACTGCAGTAACCAACCAGATCTGGAGGACCTGGGCCCAGTGCTCTACAGGATTTAAAAGTCTGTGGTTTAAGCATGGCTCACTTCTCTTCCCTGCCAGCGTCTGCACCCTTTTGCTTTTCTTGTCCTTCAGTATGACTTTTATCCACAACAACTTAATCACCGTATACAGCAGGAATGGGTTATTAGAAAGGGAGGGAATTAACAAATGTACAGACACCGGCAAAATGTACTGCTTTGAATAATTTTCAAGTCACTTATCTCAACACACAGTTTATTTGTACTGTTTTTATTGCATGAATTGTAATAGCTGCAGAGAAACACCGTTTCAGATGAGGACAGTTGGGTTTGAAGCCTTCCTGCAGTGAAGACAAAGTGAACATTTAGATGGCACGGCTAATTTTATTCACCATCTACCACCAGACCGGCACTTATATACTGCATTTAAACTGAGGGATTGGGGGGGGGGGGGGGGGGGGGGGACGACCATGCTTTACGCTTTTCAACAAAAATTATAATTAGTGCTCAGTTTTTTCAAACATGCTCAGCGGTGAGCATGGCATCCTGTAGCTGCAGTAGTCATTGTAGAGTAATGATATATAATGTAAGGTGTTTTTTATTGCTGGCTCCTTTTTTCTTTTACTGTGGGTGATCAAAGTCACATTTGGGACTGAGATAATAAGGGGCTTGTGGTGTGTGTGCGCTTTGGTGTGGTACTCCAGCAAGCACTCAGCTCAACAGGTTTTCTATGGGCAGCCGATCATTCAGTTGAAATTTCAGGATGTTATACCCCCCCTCCCCCGGCCCCAGAGATATACCATCCAAATGCAGTATACAAGCCCAAACTCCGTGGATTCAGACTTGGAGCGATGTCTCCATCTACAGGTTAGTTGTTGCAATGGCAGCGTGGGGTTGACATTGAAGTGTGTCGCTATGATAGTTTATCAAATGAAATAAAAATCAGCTCCCTTTTAAACTAAGTAGACCAGCACATATTAAAACAAAGTTCTCAGCGAGAACTTGTAAAATGGTCTCCCATACTTTCCAAAATAACTTGGTCGCTCAACTGTCACTGAAAAAACAAAAAAACAACCCATGAAATAATAAAGGTGGTATTTTACTGTACCTGAATATACCTGTTCCCACCCCACCTCCCCGCAACTTCTCCTATTTCACATATAGGACTCAAATATATGGACTCTAATGTTAATAATACATTTATCCATACTATGTTCATATAATTAATAAAAAATAAATACATTTAACAAATACAAATGATTTTGCAGTGGGTAGAGAACAGATCATCACCCACAGTTTGTATTGTTAACACATTTCTTTTCAAGTGTAGGATTTCTCAATAAAACCATTATCAGCCCTCATTAATTTAAATCTGTAGTCTTAAAGCCTCTACACTGGTGTGACTGTGCTATTGAGCTGTGTAAGAGACCAGGCGCCATCCAGTCATCTGTAGAGCTGTATATGAGGCTAGGCTCACTACAGGCTAAATGTTAACACACACTCACAGAGAGCAACCAGGAGTAAAAGTAGATGCTGATGATTTATGTTGGCAATGGGACCCAAACCAGCCCTCGGCTTTGGCCAAAAAGCTGCGGGCACAAGATGTGCATGTTTACATATCTTCAACCGGTATATCTTGTAAAAAGGTAATATGAAACATTTTCTTCTGACTTGTATTTTTTTTAAACCTTTTTTTTTTTGCTTCTGCGTTTTTTTGTACAAATCTTTGTGTAACCTGTTTTTAAACATAACAAAACAGATTAAACCAACAGAAAAATCAACCAACAGAAAAATCTCATGCATAACTTATGTCCCACTCTTACTGATTGCATTTGTAAGTTACCATCTTAAAAAAAATCTGTGTAGGTGTTTGTTGTTCAACATAACATTTTTGTTTTTGTACATTTTAGGCTATTTGCTTTTTTCTTCTTTTTTTTGATAACATTTTTCATCCTATTTTCCAGCCAGCAGCAGTTCCAGGTATTGCTCCAGAGTAGATCCCAGACACCCGACCTGTCTTTTCCTGTACAGCAGGAGGCGCAAGAGACATGTTGTGTAGGTGCTGGCTGTGGGAAGGAAAACCCCTCCATAAAAGATGTTGGGAAGCAAATGCACTTTTTATCCTTTGTGATTTCAAGTTCAGGTCCGAGAAATTAAACCCCATTTCCTATAAGAATTCTTTTTTTGTTCTTTTTTTTTCTCCCCTGCTAGAAACCGTTGCTCGTCACCCCGAAAAGCTTGATAGAGAGACATATACCGTAGATGTTTTAATACTTCTAACAACCTCCCAAGGCTGGAGTCTGGCAGCAGAAGTGGGGCCGGACAGTCAGTCAGTTGCAGACAAGGACGGGGGTAGGAGGGGTTTGGGTGGGGGTGGGGGTGGGGGGCAGGCGAGGTCACCCCTATCTGCAGAGGTCTTCTTGTGTAGAGTCTCGCACATTTTTCCTCTTCTTGCTGTTGCCCTGGTGGTGTGGCTTGTTGTTCTGGTGACTTTTGGTGCTGGAGGAGGAGCTCTGTTGCCCGTGGTGGCCGCTCTTAAGCTGAGAATGAGATATCCTGGCCTGGGGACAAGAACAGGGTCCAGGATTTCCCGTGGTTATTCAATAAAATATACTGAAGGCTGGTAATATGTAATATATCAAGATGTTTAATTTTATAGCTCTTTATCAAACATGTGTCATAATACCACAAAATGTGTTGCACCCATCAGAAATGAACTATTTTGTTGTGTTATGTGATGTGTTCAGAGATATGCATTTAACAGTACAGTTTATTTTTTAATCCTGTGGTGCATAATGGGTTTGTAATGTATAAGGTAGAGCTGAGCATACCTTTCCTCCCTTGTTGCTTCCAGATGGAGTGCTGGTAGTGTGGCTTTGTGTGCGGTGATTACCGACAACAGCAGTCTTTTCTCTGTGAGCGCTGGGGCCCTGGCCAGGCTGCTGCTTGGCTGTTTTACACGGCGTGCCATCAGAGTCCTGGGGAAAACAAACAAAAAGGATGAGTAAATAGCATGTCCACAACAATAACATTTACTCATGCTACAGATGAATGCTATAATACAATGTTTGAAGGCTCTGTGGTTGCAACACTGACCGCATCGCTGGAGCTGGCGGTTGAAGCCGTGGAAGAAGGTGACAGCGGAGAGGAGGAGGGAGAGGAGCGAAGTGAAGGGGATGGAGAGGAGGAGTTAGAGGAGGCTTTGCTGTGGGGAGCCGACGGTAGAACTACAACATCGTCGTCATCTGGAACGTTGTTGTTGCACTCATCGAGCTGCTGGGACTCAAACAGTGTGACATCATTTCCTACAGACACAAAGAGGGACAAACACAAAAGTCAACTCAGTCCAAAGTTAAGCTCACAGAAACTGGACACTGTAGTTACAACCCGGTCAGATTCAAGTGAACAGCACCTGCGGATCTTTAACCCTCCCCTTTGACCTCTCATCTAGATTTGGATAAAATTTTAGTGTCAGAAGGACATCAAGAAATAATTAATGAATTAAAAATAGTTGGAGAGAATTAAGAGTTTGAACTTACTGTTGAGTGGCAGATCATTCTGAGACGGGCTCCCCCAGTTCTTTCGGATCCATTCCCTGTATTCATCCACTTCCTGCGTTATCCGGATTATTCTGCCAAGTATGCTACGACACGAAACAGAAGCTTTTACACCAGTGTTTATACAGCAGTCTCAAAGCAAATGTTACTACTACCTTTTACTTTGAGTATAATGAAACAAAGCCTACCATGAGAAAAACAACTTAAATACTCTAAACTGGCTATGAGAGATGACGTGATCCATCCACCACTGATCCAAAACACATGATATTCAACAGAAATTGGTCAGCATCCGGCCCATCAAAGAAACATGATAGATATCTTTAATTAGCTCCTTACCTCTCTGTCTCGTTATTGGGATAGTACTTGGCGATGGGTGACACGGCGTGGCTGAGCACCACATAGGCGTAGTCAAAGGCCTGCTTAACCTGCATTGCACCGTACGAACTCCGGCCAACATCATTGTCTGTTGGACACAAAACAGATGGTCACTAGAACCTGACAACGTGCCAATACATGACATTTCAATACCTGGAAACGGAATTCAAATGTTGGACAAACCCTTAATAATCCTTTATCCTCTGTGTTCACCGTTCCTACCTGGCTGCAGTGGGTCCTCAATGTAGAGCATGGAGGGCCTGTAACCATCCATCATGTTCTTCTGAACCTCGTCTTTGGCAACGTAGCAACCTCCATCTTTTATTCTGATGCCCGTTTTCAGGTAGTTGAAGTGGCGACCGTAGAGTTCAAAGAATTCAATGAGAAGAACACCGATGTTGATGTTGGGACTGCACACATCCTCCCTGTAGTGAAGCTGGAAAACACATGGGTAGATGTTAGACTTATTGCAGATGGTTAAATGAGTTTAACAGGTCATTGCCGAGACTTTTAGATGCTAAGATAGATGCATGACAGTCTTTACATTGTTTACGCTGAATACTGCAGGGAGGGCTGTCTCTGACTGTTTTTTATCCAGAATTGTGTACCTGTACGTTTACAATTTGTGTGTTCATTAATCACCGTTGTAACAAATACCTTAATAATAAAAACTACATAACCATAAGGGCCCAAAGTCTGTTGTAGTTTAAGATCAAGTTGATAAAAACATTAAGAGGTCTTGTTAATGAGCACATGTATCTGACCTGCAGGAAGCTGACAGCCATGAGAAAGAGACTGTAGGAGCCAATTCCACCGGTGAAAACCTCATTGAGGTCCCTCTGCAGTAGGAACTGCTTCAGCACCAGGACCAGGTAAGGCAGCACAGGGTATTTCTACAGGACCAAAAACAGACACAGCAAGGACATTGTAAGAAATGGATGTTGATGCCTTCAGCACCCTCCAGAGGAAAACAGCAATTTAAGAAGTCTAAAGTTAAAGGATTTTTTGTTGGATTATCCTACTGATCACTAATATATATATAGAAGGTCCACTTGAAACGTTCAAAACTTGACATATTATAAAACGAATCATCTTGCTTTTGATGTTAGCAATGCCAGTTCAAGTTGGTTAAGATTTGATTACTCTAAATATGTCACACAAGACATTAAACCTCTATTAAGCAATGCTTTGGAGTCAAATCGCTTTCTGTTTGTTAAAAAGTGCTGTCAAAAGCTGTCTCTATATGCTACTAAGAAACCTGTACAATCTATAACTGCAACTATATTTGTTTTGTTTTTTTATGTTGTAAGAAAGGCACCATTTAGGTGTCAGTATTTCAGGCTTCTTTACAACCTTACAATACTACGATCTGCAGACCCCTGGAGAACAGTGTGGGAAAATGTTTCTACCTCTGCAACAATGTTCAAACAATGTGTACACTTCAAACATCTATTAAATCATGAAATGTATGCATTCCAAGGATACATGAAAAACACAAGAAAGCAGGAAAGACATTTTGTGAACGTTTCAAAAATCTCAAGTTGCACAAGTGTTGCCAGCTGTACCTCTTTGTAGTCCTTGATGAGCCGAGCAGCTTCAACGCCACTCTTCACATTGAAGCTGATGTCCACTTTGACCTCAGTGAAGGAGTCAGTCAGTTTGATGATGGGAACCTGGGAATATACATGACACAGGTGGTGATACTGAATAAAGATAGTCAGATAGAAACTCCTGACACTGTGCTGCAAGACGCTTAAATAAACCTGCATCCATAACTGCACTTCAAGTCTACTGTAAGCATGAAAACACAACACAAGTTTACCCACCTAATCCTTAATTTAACTCCTTGAGCAAGTGCGAAACTGCTCTTTAAAATGGCCAATTAAAGTTAAAGAAAGCTTTATTCAATCCCTTTAAGTACTGAAATAAAATAATTTCAAATAGTAATGAATAAATTGATTTTTGCACGGTTTAAAATAACACAACTCACTAATAAAAGGTCACGAGTGGTTTAAAAAAAGTCAGTTCCATGACACTACAGTACCAATAACGTGCCTGTCATATAACCTTAATTTGGATGAAATGTACTCCTTGTTACATGCTCCCACTGAAAGACTTGAGGCGTACCCTAGTGCTGATGCACTTTGGCATTTCTCTTGATGTGCATGTCTGTGCATGCCTGAATACAAAGCATGTACATAAACCAGTAGTCAGCAGGGTTCCTACAATAAATTACATACATAGTGGTTTTACAACAGAATCAAATTTGGCAACACAATGCACACGTCCAAGTGAGTGCAGTCTTACCGTGGCTTTGTCCAAAACTTTAATGGTGTTCTCATCTGCAATGTTCCTCTTCCGGAGAGCCTCTTCCAGCGTCCAGAGCGGGAGCGTCTCCCACTTCCCAAAAACGACGAGGTCAATGTCACTGATGGAGAAGAGTGACATGACAGGTAACGTATAGGTATTTAATATACAGGAGAAGCTCATGCAACAGCACAAGGGCCACGGAAAGGAGCATTTCACTACAGTAACGTTATGTTACACCTTGTCCAGTGTAAACACGTACCAACAGCTGATGCAGTGACCAGTCTATAACTAGCTGCACATGGCTTTGTGCAAAAAAGGTAGACTTTTGAAATAAGATAGGACAATCCTCCTCTTGCAAATGAAAAGTTGAATTCATACAAAATAACATACACCCTTGCTCAATTCAGTACCTACAGGGGTTTTGCTGCTTCAGCTAATGTGGCCAATGTTAATAAACATCAGTTTGTTGACTTTATGACTCCGCTCTACTTGTGCTACTGTTAAATTATGTTTTAAGACTTCAGCAGTCTGTCAATTCCGAGGTTTCTCTGGATTTTAATAGGCATTATACAATGGTGGTTTTCAAAATATGATTCTAAAACCTGATGATGATATCTGCCTCTTTAGGGGAAAATAACACGACACCATCGTTGTTCCTCTTTATCTGAAGTGGAACTAATCCTAAATACAGTAAAAAGGGAACAGCCATTTAAAAAAATAAAAAATCCTCCACAAGGTAGCTTACTGCAAACAGGTGGACTTTGCTTCCCTCTTGTGGATGAGCAATGTGCAACTTCAGACAGAGCTACAGGAAGCCAGCCAATGTGTGTGTATGTGCTATGTTAGCTACGCCGTGTGTTCACTACACTGAGACTGTTACACACAAGCACCCACTACAAACAAGATACACACACAAACACAGTGTAAGTACTTAAATAAAGGCAAATACACTCTTTTGTTTCCAGAATAAGAGAGGCACACAGAAACAGATACGCGCTCACACACCGACATGCCTGCATGCATCCCCATACAGCTTAGTCCCATTAAGTGCTCAGGATGGTGTCAAGAGCCCACTAATCCAGGTGACATGTCTGTGTGTTGAGGGTATTAGTTAAGTGTGTAGGTGGCTGTGTGGCTGGGTGTCTGTCGTAGGCCTCGCTCAGAATAAAGTTTTTAAAAAGATCCAGGAGCAGCAGCGCTAAAAATGACTGAACCACTTGATCCTCAAAACAAAAGCAAATAGTGATTCACTGGCTCGACAAAGCACTTTCTCCGTAACAGAGTCAAGTATTTTTGGTAGGGGGCCAGTTCATAGTCACAGCATGTGTTTTAGGAAACCAAATGGCTCACCTTGTTGGCAGATAAAAACCAGTGCTGAAACTCCCAAACACTTGGACCTGGAGAGATGAGACAGAGTTTCACACATTTATTTATGCACATCCTGCAGAAGAGCACAATATACTGCACCTGAACATTTTTATCATCATGACAGTTGTTTTAACCTTTTAACATCTTCTCTTCTATGCTCTGATAGGTCTTTCTGACACTGTGATGTGGACTGGACTGAGGGCAAACTGCGTAACCAAGCAGGCATCAACGTAGCATACCCTGATTTTCCCACGTTTCACTACTACAAAAACCTGTTTTCCCAGCTGCACAAACATTAAATGCAGCTTAACCTAGCATTGACTTAATGACAAGTCATAACAAACTGCACAGGCGTGGTTACAAAACAAAATCCTATCAGGGGTAAAAGGAAAGAGTGTGTAGTTTGAATATATCCAAACCACTTCAGTTGTATTTGAAGCAAGGGATTAAAGATTAGGAGAGCCTCAATGAAACATGCAAATATGCTAATTAATGTGGATATTGGTTATTGTGGAAACTGGCAGGATGTTTACATACAGAATAGCCTTTTAGCCACTGACCTCTTAACCTGCGTGCTATTCAAGAAACTAAAATATCTTAAACCTTCGGCACACAAATTGGTGTCTGAACAGAAATAGACTTAAGCCTTGACCCTACCTTTACTCCCTTAAACAACCTTCCTACATCCCACATTAAATGTTAGTATAAACTCTGGTTTACAGCTCTGTCACATGTCCAGGGCTAAGCTCATTGAAGAGCCATGTTTGTGAACGAGTGGATAGTAAATCCCGAAGACTTCTGTGAAGGCTCACAAAGGTCAGCTATGTTTTATCTCTTCTCTTCTGGCACTCCCCCGTGTGTCGGCCTACACCACAGAGAGTCTCAGAAACATCTCAACCTGGACTGAAATAGAAAAGCTTTCATGGGCATTTGTTTGGCACAGCTGACCTAGAAAAGCTTCCATATGTACCTGACAAGATCGTGATTCGGCGGGGCAACTGACTGTGGAAACATTTGTGAGTGTCTTGTGGACGTCTATGCATCTAAGCTCATCAATTAAACAAGCATCACACTGAGAGGACTAAGTTGCCCTTGCTCACAGTGGAAAAAATAAATAAAAGTGGGCACACTTTGGGACAGCATTATGCTCCTGAATTTAGGAACTGCTACGCTCAGAGCAGACTCACTATGAAGTACACTGTTCTATCAGCAAGATCAAAGTCAGTGGGTGCAAGAATGCCTGAGGTGGCTCTGATTATACGAGCCAAACGGAGTACTATGCAGCAGGGAGATAACAGAAAACTCACATACAGGCTGGCTCATATACAAACTGTGGTAACAAAGTGTTGTGAATTACAGAGACCACTGTGTCCCAGGTAGCCTGGTCACAGTACTCAACCAGTGCAACAAACATGGTGTTCAATGTTTATAACTGACCAACTATTTTCACTATTCAACAAATTACTGTGTTTCTGCCAAAACAAAATAACCTTAGTGACGCTAAGTAGCTTCCATATTACAGCTAAGGCTGGGCAATAAGACAATAATGATAATCATCGCGATATTATTTTCCTGTTCAAATGTTCAATAAATGTTTGATTTAATTCATTTGAATCACAAACGAATTAGCACTTTCTTTTCTATTAAGATATTTATTTTGTTGAGGAAAACAGACGGAAAAAAAGAGTTTCCTTAATTTTACTCAAGCATACTTATTTTTTTTTTCATAGTTGTTTTGACTCTTCTACCTCAGATTTGTGAAGTAATCCATTGTTCGGTAAGTGTTTGTCATGTTCTGACCATAAAGAATAGTTTAATTTTAAATTTTTGGGCAGTATCGCCCATGATAAATAATCATAATTCTCACACTCTACTATCTACACCAAACCCCAAAACATTACATTACATTTATTCATTTAGCGGACACTTTTTTCTTTCTTCCAAAGCGACTTACAATAGCTACATATGTCGCTACAGAGGTCGCAAGCCTCTGGTGCAACCAGGGGTTAAGCGTCTTGCTCAGTGACACATTGGTGGATGTGTCACAGTAGGAATTGAACCCGGTCTCCCACACCAAAGGCATGTGTTTTATCCATTGCGCCATCACCACCCCTAAACAAAACAAATGAAGCAGAGTTTTGGTGTTGGGGGCGTTATGTACCTCAGCACTGGGCCACAGGTCGTGGATGACACCCTTTATTCTGTCCACCACCTCCATTCTCATCTTCTCTTCTTCCTTCCGTGGGGAGATGTATTTATAGAAGTCGTTGACCTCCTCGTGTAACCTGCACAGCACACAGCACACAGCACAGATTAGTGCAATTGATATTGTTTACTACAACAGATCTAGGGCTGAATGATTAATAATTTTCAAATCAAAATTGCAATTTGAAAGAACGCGATTAGCTAATCGTGAAGACAGCGATTAAAATGTAGGTTAATTATCCAGCGCATCTGACCATGTCATGCAGTTACAAATTCATGCTGTTGTCAACGTTACAACGCCAACGTTACATATCCACATTGGAGCGTTTTGCCCATCTGATTTGGGTAACCTGTTCAGATTTTGCTTATTTGTTCAGTTGTCCTTGATTTTTGTTCTTCTACTATAGTTAAGTAGGCTACGTAGTTAAATTGTTTGGGTTTTTTTGTCTGTTTTAAATGTGTTAACTGTTAATGTGCGATTGGGAGTCTACAAAGGGTGTTTTATTTTGAAAATCTACAAGATTCTCTATGCTGTTCTGTGTCTGACCTCCTGCCTGGTTCATCTGCTCTGTGCTGCTTGACGTGGCTTCTGTCAGAAATAGACTAGCAGTGAATATTGAACTTTAGCAAAACTTCAAAAACATTAAAAATAAAATTTGCTAATCGAATCGTATTAGCAATATCTGGCAGAAAAAACGCATTTAGATTTTTTCCTAGTCGTTCAGCCCTAAACATATCACAAAAGTAAGTTAGTTTTAACAATTCAGGACTACTGACACTGAGGCACATCCCACATCAGACAGAGAGAAACACGACCAGGGGTGCTCTCATTCTCTTGGCCCAATCTGTGCACTATACTAGCACTATGCTAGCAGAGCAAAAATATACTATGTACAGTGCCAAGGGGGGGGGGGGGGAGCAACAGTCACAGCCAGAGATACAGATGGCAGACACTAAGTCACACTGACAGGACAGAGCTCATAGCCGTTTTCTCTCTATTTACATATTCACACACAAAACTCCAGTTACTGCAAGTAATCAGATTAAGCTGAGAGTTTGTCACACCTGTGAAGGACGTCTGTCATCTCAAACTTTTCTCCTCATCCCGCTGTAATAATTAAAAAATCTATAAATTATATATTTTTGGAAATGGGCGTGTAATATCCACAAATGTTACTGTGACTGAAATATATGTGTCGCCTGTAGAAATACTGATGCTGCAAAATATCAGCTGAAGTTTTCTCCACTGCTGTGGCGTAGGCGTGTCACCTAGCCAAGCAACTGAACACAACAAAGCAGGGTGTTGTCAAAAAAGTCAACTTTCCCGTGGCAACTAAAAGTCTCAAAAATAAAAACAGCAGGCATTGCAAGGGGTTCTCTGAATACTTCCACTATCAGCTTTCCTGTAGCTGTACAAGCAGAATCGTGCCCTTCAGCGGAATCATTAATCATTAATAATAATTATTCCTCCACACAGTTACACAGTATGAACCCATTCTCCCTGATAGAGCTGGAGGTTAATAATTGCTGAAAGCAAAAGGGGTAATTTCAATCAGAAAGACAGTTAAAAATGTTCTTCTTAGGCCCATTATGACTGCAAGGGTTTTATCTTCCCAAAGAGAAGCATCTGCGTTTTTAATATTTTCCCAAAACAATTATTTATTTTTTGGTCAAACGGCAGGGCCAAGCAAAAACAAAAACAGGAACCTATTGTATCTGTTAAAAAAAAAAAACTCAGTAAGGGCAGGCTAAGCAAGGGTATCGCATTTGTCCTTGGAACAGGTCGCTCTGCCCACGTGCGCTGACCTTTTCACTGACCAGTTTTGTCTACATGCGCACAGACGCTGGGACAAATCTCTGTGGGCGGACAAATAAGAACAAAAAACATACAGGCACGCATACACACAAACAGCCATATAGAAGCCTAGATCAGACAAATAATGGGCACATTCACCTTGGCAGAGGACGAGAGAAGAAAAGTGATATTTCTGCTTTTAAAAATAAAATATAGCAACAAAGCAAACAGAAAGCTGGAGAAGAAAAACACTAGCAGACACCAACACTGACTGACAGTTGTTTGGATTACACCCCAAAGAGCGCTGTGTGTGTGTCTACTGTCTGGGTTTTATATAACAAGCACTTTTAACCTGACAACAGGCAAAGTTGACTGAATTTCACCATTATTATTTCTCGGGTCTCACACACTCAGCCTAGCAGAAGCCCAGGATACAGAAGCAGCACTGAAAGGTTGCCCGTCTGCTAAACATGTAGGGAAAATACTTGCCAAATAAAACTTCCCTAGTGAAATGCTATCATAGTGACACCACAGCACAACATTTGACTTAGAAACTCACATAACCGTGATGGATTAGAGGGGACATCTGGCACATAGACCAACCTTGAGAAATAAAAAGAAAAACAACAGTACAGCCCTACTGAAAGATGCAAGTGTGTCTATACTGCAACACTTCAATATGAAATACAAACCACTACATCAAGTCGGAAGGCTCAAGACACCGTGCAGCTGTTTATACTTTACAAAGATATCAAAGTAATCAGCTATCTCAGCTTGTGCTGGAACAAATTATCATTATGGAGACATTATTTTCTTGATTAACATCATTTCAACTAGAAAATGTCACAAAACGGTGAAAAAACAAAAATTCCTAAAGCCAAAGGTGAGGTCACCTGATTCAAAACTATAAAGTTGAGCAGCTTAAATTACTGATATGATATGGATGACAATTTAACAGTGAGAATGAGACTCCTGTAATCAGATCAGATAGAGAGAAGAGGTCTCACTCTGCTGGAGCTGTTGGGACTACAAAAGCAAACTTCTACCTCATTTACAATTAGGGGTGGGAATCGCAGGGTACCTTACGATACGACACGAGACACAATACCGATAATATCACGATACAGCAATTCTGCGATGATTGATTTATCGCTAGACAATTCTGAAATAATGCATCACGAAATCTGTCTATGAATACAAAATGCCCATGAAAAGTTCTCTATTTATTTGCAGGAAAAAAGCAAACTCTGCTGCATACATTTTTCAGTCTGTGAATTAAAACTACAGGACAATCGAGCAGCTATGAAAAATTATTATAAAAAACAATTCTTTATAAAAGGCACATAAAAATGCAAATTCACTGAATATTTTGCTGAAAATACAAATTGCTGTGTACCACCTAAGTCTAATATGTACATCACATTATACTGATAACTGTTCAGCGACACAGCATTGGGCTGCCCTTTCTTCACCTAGTGATAGCTGTGATTTTAGGCCACTGGGAAATTTGGGTTTAGGTTTTGACCCTTTGGTGTTGCTGTAGCTAGTCTGTGTGTAATGCAGAAGTAGCAGAGTAGCAGATCAAGACAGTGAAGTTAGCAGCTCTTTTTTATTTCACACAGAGCTCAGGAAACATACGTACTTTAAGTATTTGCACAGTATGTCACTGAGGGTTTATATTTTTGCGATCGTAATGCTAATGTCTGTTAGCATATCAATGGAGATTCCCATTACACTTTAGCATTGAGCTAACTGTCAAAGCGCTTTTTTTTTTATCTGACGGGCTGGAATATCGATATTGTATTGATTTGTTGGCACAACCCTATTTTCAATCATTGGCAGAGTAAAGAACAGCCTGCAGAGAGAGCACAAACTCACAGTAGACAAGTTTATTTTTAGCCTGCCATCAAGTTAATCATGGAATAAGTATAGGTAATTTTAATCGGCGGTCTGTGTGGGCTAAAAATGAGAAGCTGCTAGCAGAACATTTTGCACATGGATCTTTGCGAATACGAGCAAATCAATAATAAGAAAACTGCCAGACGACCCTGCATCTTGGGTGTGAAATAAATTAAGTGGTTGTGTGTTTAATGCATTGCTAATGTTGTTCTGAAAGTGGCCTAACTCGCTGCTCACAAGTCTGAATGTAGTGAATGTAAATGCAGGGAATTACTGAAAATGCAGATGAATGGAGGGCTGAACAACGTGAAGTAGTATTCACTTTAAACAGCCAGCCTCTATGTTCAGTCTACAACAACACAAGCTCTCCGTATTGTATCAGAACTGTGCTTTATCACTCTTTTTTCCCCTGTCACAGCTGAAATCTTCAGAGAGCTGACCACAAATAAAGAAGTAAAGTGAACTGAATGACATAACTTCTTTTCACTGACTTCCTTTGTTCAGACCAAGACAGAAGGCCACTGGAAAGTTTCTAGTAGCCATGGCTATGTTTATGCTTTGAGTGGTTATCCCAGCATTACATGGGACAGCCTTTTTCCCCCCCTTTCTGATGAATTAAAAGTTTAGTAGTTTCAACAAATACATTTACCAGAATACATAAAGTTCACACAATTTCACAGACATTATTTTTTGTCAGAGCTAGTTTTTGTTTTCATTTGTCAACCACTCTACACTGTATTGACTAATCTCTTTTCCCTGTGTGCACTGAAGACACTCCAACCCCCATCTCACACACACAAGGTTTCATTTAAGGGGAAAAGAAACTCAGCTGCTACAGTGTGCTTTACAAATACGACATTAGTTTTGATTTCATTGTTAAGAGAGCACAGAGAGCCTTAAAAGAAGACATTCTCCTGGAATGATAATCTAACAATCTTTTCAGAGCAAAATAATAACAAAATAAAACATCCTGTGAAACCAATAGGTTTCACTTCACAGCAAACAGGCCACCACTGCTCCCTTATCCTCACAGGACGGGAGCAACCATAGAAGTCACATCTCAAGCCCTACCTTCTTGGATCAAGTTACATCGCAGCCCTGCCCAGGGAGCACACGGACCCTTGGCACTGCTTATCAGATAATCCTACTCGTCTATATCGTAGTAATGTTATGTAATCTTGTGGAACAGGTTTCCTGAGAGCCGAGGCTCCTGTAGGAGAAATAAATGTCCCCTCTCCTCCAAAATACTTCTTCTTGGGATGAAGGGCTGTTATGGTGGATAAAACAAGTGCTAAAATGCTCTTCTGACAGCATAACTGATAAACTGTTTGGTCCATAAAACATCAGAAAACAATGAAAAAGGCTCAAATTGATGTTACTGATGTT